GGCACTTTCCTACAGTACTTCCCCCCAAAAAAAAAGTTTTGCAAACACTGTTTTTGCAAGGGGACAATTTGAGTTGGATTAAATTAAAATGAGACGAGATGCCAGGTGATGACAAACGCATATCAGAAATGGCAAATAGTTTATTTCCTATGCTAGTAATATGAAGAAACGTTGTTTCCTTCAGCTATTGCCTCTTCAGGCAAACAGGGAAAATCCAACATCTCCTTCTTTCGTGGGAACAGCTAAGTTCAAAGTGAAATAAATCATCAGTATGAAGATGTGTTCACATTTTTTCCCAACATCAGAATAATTACATACCACTAAAACTAGAAACATTTTTCCAAAACAGGACTGTGTCTTTGTATAATGTTGACTTTTCCAGATCCTCTGCAAACTTACTAATATACAATAGATAGCACAGTGTAGTAGAAGCTATAGATGAGAACTAAATCAGTCAGTGTTCTTATTACTATTATCCTTCTGAAAATTGCTTCCTCCCCTTTTTCTTTCTAACAGAGGATGAACAGAGAGAGAAGTCTGTGTCCCATCATACTGTTCAGCAGCTTATAGTGGAGAAGGAACAAGCTTTAGCAGATCTGAACTCAGTAGAGAAATCACTGGCAGATCTTTTCAGGAGATACGAAAAAATGAAAGAAGTGTTGGAGGGGTTTCGGAAGGTAAGTCACGTTAAAGTCCCCCTCCTTTAAAGAGCAAAGCACAGCAGGCTGTCACGTAGCGGTGTAACGATACAAGACGGCAGGTCATTGTTTCTAGTCGTGAGTCTGATTTACTACGTTAGCCTGCGGTGTGTGGCAGGGAGGGAGAACATCAGCGCAGGTTGGTATTTGTTTTTGGAATAACTCTAGAAAGGTTGAGGTTTTGCCCAAGAGTAACTTGCTCCTGTACATGACACTACATTTCCAATAAAAGTCGCATAACTGGAGGACTTTAGCACGTATCAGGGCTGGCTTTCAGACTGAGAGTTCTGTTAAATGTAGTATGTAAATTCCTCTGGTCAGGGGTCACGTGTAAAGTGCGTAATGTAATCCTTAGACAAATTCCATGCAGATACCAAATGCGAAAAGAAGTATTGTAAAGCTTTCTGCATTGTATAGTATTGCTTCAGATGGCCTCTGTGTGGGGGTGTCAGCGTAAGACTGCATCCCTTAAAATAGTTGTGTGACTTCCACAAGTGGGTGCTTGTCACACACTTCAATCTCTTGAATTAAATGTAATGTAATCTTTTCATTTAAGAATGAAGAAGTGTTAAAGAAATGTGCCCAAGAGTATTTATCACGAGTAAAGAAAGAAGAACAGAGGTATCAAGCACTCAAAATTCACGCTGAAGAAAAACTGGACAGGTAATTGGTTGTACACATGTCTTGGTGGGAGTTTGTGCTGCAGGAAAATTCTTGCCTGCTGACATTGCTCCTTTAATACGCAGAGCAGAAACACTCGGTGGTGGAAGGTGGAATGAAACGCCCTAATGAGAATTTGTGTATTGTGCTGCTGTTTCTTCCAGCTCCTAAGCATAATTGAAAAAAAGAATTATTGTCATATTGAAAGGGTTCTCCAAGAAGGGGCCGTATAGAGTGCCTTTAATTTTTGCCTTTATCGAATATCTTCATGTTTGTTTAATTTCCAGGGAAGATCAAGAAAGAAGCCGTTAGCTAGGTTTATGCAGCTATGGAGGGCTCTGCTCAGATATTTGTATCTGCAGCTAATATTGCTGCCCCTAGAGCTTTGTTATTGCCCCTGTGCTTTACCAATGTCCCTACGTCAATCAGCGGAACAGATCATGGAAGTGCTATTCAACAGTGCAGAATCAGTCAGAGTCAGGTGGCCTCTGTTAATACCGGCTATCTAAGCTAGATGAAACTAGATCAGCCAACTGTGCGCTGAGGGCGATGAGGAATAGTTGCATGAAAGATTGTGCCAGCTCCGCCTGGATAGTTACTCCTTAAGCTACCGTAAGGAGTGAACATCTGATTGTGGCTTAAGACAGGCAGCTCTGGTTGCTTCCCCCCCACACACACACACTTTTTATGCTTCCCTGCTGTAATGCCCGAGCAAGCATTTCTGGGGGTTAACATTCAGAACTCGCGTTACAGTCCCCTTGACCCAAGAGATGTCTCCGTAATGTCACTGAGATTGATCAGTGCCTAAAATGAAGTGACACTTGGATTCACTTCCCAGCTGTGGATCTAGTCTGTAAAAACTGGAAAACAGGTTTAGAAACTTCCATAAAACACCTCTAGCTAAGCGATCTTTGTGACGCCAGCACAGGTGTCTCAGAGAAGCGGGAGGGGAGCAGTGCAGACATTAAGAAAAGATTTTGCAGTCTCTGTTGAGAAAGGCTCAAGCCTTTCAAGAGGAGAAGGGTCTGCTGTAGAGAACCTGGCCGGACAAAAATCTGTGGGTTTTTTTTTTTTTTTTTGGTTTTTTTAAAGCCAACGCTGAAATTGCACAAGTGAGAGGCAAGGCGCAGCAAGAACAAGCAGCCTACCAGGCCAGCCTTCGCAAAGAGCAGCTGAAGGTGGATGCATTGGAAAGAACACTGGAACAAAAGGTAACTGGTATCTCCATGGCCTGGGAGAGGAAGGGCAGAGGAGGCAAGAGGCTTGCAGTTACCGCTGTTTCCATGATATTTCACATTAGAGGATGTGGTTTCTACTACCCGTTTACAGCAACTTAGCCTTCAGCGTAGTCTCTCTTTCCACACAGTTCACGTTCCATTTGGGGTTTCTGATGTTTCTGAAGGTGAGCACGTGACAGCAGGTTTTTTTTTTTTAACACGTGGATAATAGGAGAGTCCTGTCAACAACTCCCTTCCAGAAATTCAGTCCTTTTAACACTAAAGTCAGCGGTAGAATCCGAGTTAACGGAAACCTCCTGCCCAGCGTGTCTGCGTCTGGGACTCTTCTAGAGCTCGGAGCGTACCCCGGCTCTGCTCCTTGCAGCCAGCGGGCCCAGCAGCTCCCTAGCCCCGGGGGAGAGCAGCACCACCCAGCCCTTCACAACAAAATCAGCTGCACGTTCCCAGTGGTTTGGGTGAAAACTTCCATCTGCCAGGCTTTGTTATAAGTGGTCTCAGCCACCAGCCAGTGTTATGGGCTAATTTGGATTCCTACTCGGTCACGCTCAGGCTACACCTGTGTACCCAACACGGCCCTTCGTTTCCTTTAATTCTTAGGCTTAAGATCATCCTTGTTTTAGTTTTTTGTTCAGCGTTTAGTTTTAGCTGTAATTCCAGTGTTAGTTTAGATGCCACCACTTTCATTATAGACAAAATGATCAGCTGCAGATCTATACAACTTAGGGCAATAGTGGTTGTAGAAAATCCCCATTTATATCTCTTGTTCTGTAGCTTAGCAAAGCAACTTACCTCCAGTATGATGCAACTGGTTCTCAGTTTGGGTCCCTAGGAAACAGCATGAAAATAATGCTGTAAAAGAGCAGCCCAGAAGCGAATTACACTAAGTAGAATTATACTGTGCTAAGAATGACTGCTATAAAGCAGTATGCTTTAGTGCTAAATTGCATTTATTGAAGTAGGAGGAACTCTATGTGGAAGTAAGCCTGTTGTTTGAAGGCATTACACATAATACATCTATGTATGCAGATATATATATATGTATAGATAGATAGATTTGAGGTGATTTTTTTTGTCACTTCTGACTTCCTTCTGTTCTCAATATTGCTGAAAACATCGTTCTGCTATATCTCTCCTAAAGGCTGGATATTTTTTAAAAGCACTCATCTTAATGCAGAAATATTTTTCGTAATATTTAATATTTCCTTTTCTTTTCCAGAATAAAGAGATAGAAGAACTAACAAAGATTTGTGATGAACTGATTGCCAAAATGGGGAAAAGCTAACTTTCAACCAAAATTCTGGACTTCGATATTGAGTGCAATATGACCTTTGGCACACTGATGTCCATACATTTATGTGGACAGGTTAAATTTTCACTTTTTCGTATGCACTACTGTATTTTCTTTCTAAATAAAGTTGATTTAATTGTATGCAGTACTAAGATGACTATCAGAATTTCTTGCTATTGTTTGCATTTTCATAGTATAATTCATAGCAAGTTGATCTCAAAGTTCCTGTATCAGGGAGATTGTCAAGTTCTCTAATAATTTACGAATTGCTGATCCTAGCCTTCCCTTTGTACATGAGTTCCCATGTTGGATGTCTTTTGGATTTAATATAAACATGTATTACTTGCATGGGGACTCTTGCCTTAAGGAGTGTAAACTTTATCTGCATTTGCTGATTTGTAAAATAAAACTAAAAATGAAAAAAATTAAAATGCATGTCACTTAAATGAAATTCTCTATTGTAAATAAATTTTTTCGTTGAAAGTTGGAGATAAGTATGACTTTTTTTTTACGTACTTCACTTGATTACTTCGTGTGCAACGCCAGATATAGCACTTCTTATTAAGGAACCCTTTCAGAGACAGTTCTTTATTTCACTGAGTAGTGTCACTGCATGGTGATGGTACTGGGGCACTCTGCCAGGACTTAGAAGAATGAACTACTTATATTCGTATATACATATATATATGTATGTATGTAAATATAGATATGCTAGATTGGGACCATTCAGCTCTCAAGCATAGGCTTAATCCTACAAAATGTTTAATACTCTGACCCTGATCCAGCAAATCACTTGGGCAAATGCCATGAGACGCTGCATGAGCTGCAGATTGTGACATCAGGTGATGGGATGGTGTTTGTTAAGCATATGTACCATTGATAGGTGAATACATTTTCTTCTTTTTGCTACTGGAAGAATTTGCCTGCAGAGTTTATGGAGATGAAGTATGTGTAGTTAGAAGTACAAACAGAATAAGCTAGCTAAGTAGCATTCTTGCACACCTCTTTATCCTATAAGTCATCCTCTGCAGAGGATTAAGTTTGTAAGATAAGCGTTAAGGCTTTAATAGCAAACAAACTGCTTTCTTTGTCTAATGGTACATCTCTTGTATCTCCATGATGAGGACAGTCTTCAGCCTGGTACTTGTCTGCTCCCTTTTTGTGATCAAAAGTAAGTCAACTCCCTTTACTCCCTTTCCTTTCCTTTTGGGTTTTTTTTTTTTTTTAGTGATTTCCTATCTTAGGCATGGGTTCAGGCTCTTTGCTGTGTTCTGGGCTTTTCTCCTATGTTTGTTTGTTTTCAGATTGTGTATGTGGTTAGCAGTGCAGACTTTTACCTCCACTATGTAATAATGTAAATTATAAAGACTTGTGCTAACGGATTCAAATAGGTCCCTGAGGACATCAGTTGTCCCTTTTGCTTTGCAACTTCTAAGTATGATGTTTTAGATGTGTTTCAAATTGGAAACTGATAGGATTTTACGTAATCTTTAGGTTTTTTTGGTATGTATTTTGTAATTTTTGCATGTACTTCAAAGAAAATTAGCAGCATAGCTGATATTTTAAAATATTTTTATAAAGTCTAAACACTACTATTGTAAGATGTCTTCTTTCTTTCTGGCAGGTGAAGCGCTGCAGTGTTACACTTGTGTAGGTTCTAGTGACGAAGACTGTAACAGACAAGGAACTCAGCAATGTCCAGGGCATTCAGATGCATGTGCAGTGATAAGAGGACAAGCAAGTAAGTAGCCGCAAATACTTCAGACCCATTAAATGTAAATAATTGAAATAACCAGTGCTAGAAGGAGAAGAAGATAGTCAGATAAGGAGGGAAAAAAGCAGACAAATGTTTCCTCTCAAAATAAATCCCGGTAATAAATCTCAGTTCCTGATTTTAATGGCTTAGCAGCAATTTGATACAAATTCTCACTGAGCTTGATTTATTAAATCACCCTGATGATGAGCCACATCCAGACTGCATGAGTGGTTTAAAATAGTACCTTAAATATTAGCCACTTCTTACTTAAATCTGCCATTTTTAAATTAAATGACTTATCTTGAAATTAAGAAAGAAAAGAACCTAATGAGAGACTGCACTTGAGTAGGTTCCAGAATACTTAAGGTGCATCAGTTGTATCAAAGATAAATTACAATTATTGAAACTTAAGCGGGAGCTTGTGAGTGTGCTATAACTTGATGCAATTGTATCCATTTGCTTGTAAGAACGGCCAAACCTTGGTTCCTCTTGACTCCTGGATGGTCAGATTCATGCTAGTAAGACGCAGATCTGAGTAAGAGAACTTGAGCATCCTGCTCTGTTTGGGTTCAATGTGCCTCTGTTCTAGGTGGTATTATGAAGTCCTGTTCGTTCAGGTCGTTCTGTGAGCGGGCAAGGAGAGACGGATCCAGAGCGCCCGGAGTGAGCGTTCACTGCTGTTACTCAAACAATTGCAATGCAAAAAGCCTGGGCTCAAGAATCACCACCTCCATGAGCTACTTATCTCTCCTCATCTTCACGCTGTTTTGGCACCCACTGCTTAAGCTGACATGAAAAAAAAAAAGTTTCCTCAAGCAACAGCTCTGCCTTTTTAGAAAAGATTGGATATATTTTCTAATCATGTTACTCCATGTACCGTATTTTTCAGTAGGAAAAAAGCAGTAGGCAGACCTAACAGATATTAAGATAAAAATTGTTGCATCTGCTAAAGAATATGTTTTGACATATATTTAAGCATATGTGCTCTTCTTATTTATCCTAAGGGGTTGATTGTGATAATGTGTAACATTTTTCTATATATGGATAAAGTATGTAAAGAGAAGGAGAAATATTAGCTTCAAGTAGCAGCCTTGTAGTGTCATAAAGGGCCAATATCTTCCAAATGCTGCTTAGTGTTGGCTTACATTCAGAAGAAAGTAAAATTTTCAAGGACAAAGTGACTGAAAACTCTGGTAAGCCATGAGCAGCTAGTCTTTCAGACATCATTTGCAATCTGGGCAAAGCCAGAAAATTTGAAATAGGAATGGCTTATAATTGTTAATATAAATTCCTTAAGAGATGATCACTAAGAGAACAGTGCATGAAAATACATTATGTTATATATATTTCCTGAAAATCCTTTTCCATTCTTGTATGATAATTTAAGAATCTTACTATGAAACTGGAGGGAAGGAGAAAAAGAAAAAAAGAAAAAGCAGCAGCTTGGAAGTGGTTTTGAGTTGGTAAGCTCCCCTCCAGAGTTACTGACGTCAGTAAGTGCGGGAGTTGGTCTGTGATAATTTACATATTCTTTAAGCTTTGCAAAGTAATGAAATCATTTGAGGATCTTTGATAACGTAAAGAACTAATAAACCTAATCAACAATCACATTAATTGCAGTCTTAAAAAGTGAGCAATCGGGGATGGGCCACGTCACGGAAGGCACTGTACGTCACCAGCTAGCGGGCAGACATTTGCTTTGACGTGGTTACGTTCAGACTAGGCAAGACATAACACACAGTGTGACAACAATAAATGAGTTATTGGGTCTGTGATACTGCAAAGCAGGGCTGGGAAGGCAGAGGTAGGTGGTACCTCCATTGATTCACGAGTGGGAGTACAGATATGATCAGTATTCATAGCTTTTTAATATCCAGCAGTGATGATCTGGTCTGATCTCCAGTACACACAACCCACAGAACTGGTATAAAGTCCAATAGGTGTAACTGAGGTAGAGCTGATCTTGCAGTGGAGAGTTCTAATTTTAGTTGCTCACTTGGAAAAGGACACGGTTGTCAAGTTTATGGAACTCACAAAATACATGGCAAATTAGTTTTTCACTAGCTTTCCGTTGTGACTTTTTTCACTAATTCTTTGAAAAATCAGTTCCGGGCCATGTGTCTTAGGATTCTGCAGACATTTACAAAAATTTTATCAAGAAGGTTGCAACCTGTAGAGAGTTGCTTTACGTGAAATCACTGAAGCTTCCAAGTACAATAAAACCCTAACTTGCCTTTTAGCTGTTGCCTGTCATGCTGACCAAACTGTCCCACTGTTTCTTGTACTGTTTCCTCTGTCTGGATCCTTTCCTCATCTTTTGTCACTTGTGAATGCTTCAGACTGGGACTATCGTTTTGAGTTTTGTTTGCCTGGGATCACAAACAGTGGATTTCTGGTCTGCGATTAGTTGCTAGGCACAACCATAGTACAGCTGTTAAATAAGACTGCAACGGTGCAAGAGATCTTGGCTGAGAATATAAATTGAGACTTAAGTATCCCATACGTGTAAAAAAGACTGTAGCTGATAAATATTTTTCATTTTATTCTCAGCTTGAATCAGTTCCTTCAAGCTGTTCTGCTACACTGAACATGTATTGATTGAATCTTTTTTTCTGATTGTACTGTAATGACTAATCCGTATTAAATGTAATGTCTGTTTATGCTGTGTGCATTTTCTTAACGAGAAGTTAAAATATATGCGGTGTCTGACAATGTCTCTTGATAAACAAAATTGCATCTTTTATTTGGGATTTCCAATTGCATGTGGCAGCCTGTCCTCCAGCAGAAATTCAAGCTTTCTCAGTAGGATGTATTGCTTAAAATGTTAAATAAAGTAAAGCTTGCTGACAGTTTTCTTACTGTGAAATTTCTGTGATAAAATAAGAAGGTAAGGCTCTATCCCCTTGACAAAGGACGTCTGTCGTTCCTGACTACAGCTAGTACTTTGATCCTTTAGGTAACTCACAGCCTCCCACCCCTTCCGTTTGATTCTGCTGTCCAGCTCATAAAGGGCTGTATTTTTGTTGTTCTGACACTTTTCCTTCCTAATTATGAACCTGAAGTGTGCATGCGTGTGTATATCTGGCAGTGATGAACTTTATTTGTGGATTGATAAGAGATATTTCACAATAGTTCTTGGCATAAACGTTAACAGGAAGACAAGCACAGGAACAAGATAGAACAAAGTAAAGCATTTTAAAAACAGTTTTAAAAGAAAATCTACAAAATATAGAAGGCGTTTTAAAGTTGCCACTAACATGACTGCGCAGAGTTGTTCCTAGTCATGTGTAATTGTCTTTAGTTTCATTGTTTTAAGGTTTTAAAACCCATGTCATCATTTCTGGCCTAGCGTTAGAGTTTTTATATTCCTTAACGTTGACAGACCATTGAGACAAAGGGAGCAGAAACTGGGAATGGATTGGATTCTGCTGCTACCAAAATTTTTAGAATGCCTTTCTTGCCTCTTATGTCGGTTGGAGCTGTTTAGTGGATTGGTTGGGGAAGTCCTGGGTTCTCAGTGGGGAATAAGAAACCGTGGAGGCTTGTGAACTTTAACATCTAAATCAGAGAGGATTGTCTAAATGCTGGCTGGGCAATGTAATGAAAGAAACGTAAAGTATATATCTGCGTCACAGACCAGAGTTTCTTTTTAACTTACTTTCATGTGAAATGTTAGTTTTGTGGCTCTGTTCAGTAGAGGTTAAAACAAAAAAACACCCTCCTACCCTCTGTTCTCGTGTCCCTGTGAACAATGAAGTCCTGGTGTCAAATGTTTTGTTGTGAGTGCATCTGCAAAATTTCTTAAAGTTTCTGGACCATATAAATGTTTAGGACATAGCAAGGAGCTGTGGGCTGTGAGTCGTAACTGGTGACTGCCCAGTTACTGGGAGGTCAACAGGCAAACAAAACTGGGAGGAGTTTTACGTTTCTGGAATCCAAAGTCCTGACTGTGCTCCGTGGAGTTCAAGGTTATCATATTGCACCCAACTATGCTTCCTCTTGTCATCCAAGAACGTTACTATATGAGGTATTTTGTAAATTTATGACATGCTTAGCATATTTGCTCCTGAGAGAGTGGGAAAAAATAAATATTATCCCAAGTGAATACTGTGCCCAAATTGTGTAGCTAGCAATTAATCTTGTTGGTGGCATATTTACAAGTAAACTTTGTTAGTCAGTATCTGAATAAGGGAAAAGTCAATGTGAAATTCAGTTCAGAAAGAATTTAAGAATGTAATACTAACTTGGGTGGTTTTATGGAAAGCAGATCTTGTCAAAAAATCACATTTCCAGTTAGATTTTTGTTGATAAAGGTAAATACATAATTTTGCAACACATTTCAGATAATTACAGTGATAACATACACACAGAGTTCAAGAACTAGAAGAGCGAGAGGCTGCAAGAAAAACGGTTCTCAGCAGAAAATCTTTGTCAAATTGTATCTTGGCTACAGGATGCCTTGCATCATCTTTCTGAAGAGCTCGTGATGTCGCAGTAAGTGTCACAATAACACAGTACTAAGTTGTCTGCATTGAGATGGTCCATCCATAAACGAGCAAGATGGTTTATGTTACCATAGGGATGTTTCTAAGGGAGACAGGAGATGTGCTTTTCTGGAATAAAATTAAAGCAGAGGAGTGAGAGCGGGAGGAGGTGCTGAGCATTTTGTAGCTAGCCAACACTCCTCTATACTTAAAACCAGTAATCTGGAAAGAAGTACAGTATTAGTAAAATTGCTTGTCATGCCACATACACCTGTTGGCTTTTCTAGCAAACCGATGTCCCCCAGTTTATTCCAGAAGACAATGTTTCTTTCCAAAACTACTCTGTCAGTTGCTAACTCAAAAGACTTTTAAGTATAAGATAACGTTTGAAAGACAAAGGGGGATTTCTAGCTTCAAGATTTTTGTCTTTTCTAAGAGACTTCCTGCCCTTCCTGCCTCACAGAAATGTTTTCTCTCATTTACTTTACATACTGAAGGGTGGTTTTTGAACACCGACAGAGTCCTGGCTGCAAAATTAAAGCTAGTTTTCAAATGCAGTCCCTAGTTCCTCCTGCCTGAATTTGAGACATCTGTAATCTCATTTTAAGCATGCTGGTCACTCTCAGTTTCTGGCTTCAATAGCAAAAAGGTCAAAAATATCTGTAGAAGTGTCCCTGCAGTTCAGGGCTCAGCCTCCCTGGCTGAGGTTTTTTCGGCTGGTTCAAAGACTAATTTTGACCAAAGTAACTTTGAATTTTTGTTACGTCATTTTGTCTCTGTGCTCTTCCTACCTTCACAGAGCATTTGCAATGTGTTCTTGATATCTTCGGTATGTTGTCTTCCTTAGCAACTTGTTCTCAGCCCCTTTAGCAGCTTTTGGAGGACTTTCTTAGAATGAAAAGAAAAAATGTGTGCTCTGTATGCATCTGAAGTTCTCATGCGTATGTTTCTGTTGGACCAAACTTCTAGTAGCGTAATAATCTCCAAGCTGCCTCTCCTAGCTCGATGACGATTACTGATTTCAGTCTTTATAAGCATCAGAGGTTTTGGTATTTTTCTTTGTGCTTAGTGTATATAGACTTAATGGTCAGACCTATATGGGCACACTCTGGAGGAAACCCGAGTCCCCATCAGCTGACAAATTAGAAACACAGAAACTGTCTTTAAAGCAGGATCCATTTAAATCAAAACCAGTCAGTTGCCGGGGTTCAGCCTTGTTGGGGGTGCGAGGTTTGAAGAACCAGGGATTAAAATGCACAACACAATGAAACACAGACATAAGCTTGCAAGCAACCCACTTCCTTGTGAAGAAATAAGCACCTCTGCAGTCTGCAATGGCCTCGGTGCCTCTTTCAGTCTCGTCTCTGTGATTCACTCCATCTGTGAAAGCTGCCACCACCACTTGTAAGTGGGCAGGA